CCCCCCCCCCGACCCGCCTCCCTCCCAGTCAGGAGCGCTGCGACGGCTCTCCATCGCGTGCCGCCATCGTGACCTCGGCATTCTCTCGGCCGCCCTGTGGCGTTGGCGGAGTCAGGCGTCGTCGAGAGAAACCACGGCTACCGCCCTCCGCCGCCTGGCACGACTCAGGCGGCGCCGGCAGTTGTCGGGGGCCATGCGGCGCTGGGGCGGGGTTGTGTCCGCGGAGCAGGCGCTGGGGGGGCTTGGTGGGAGGGTGGAGAGGGTCGTGAGGAGGGCGAGGGTTGCGCGGGCCGTGCGAGTGTGGTGAGCGGAGGAGGGGTTGGTAGTGATGGGGTTGGAACTGTACGGGCATCGCTTGACCGTGCTATGTAGTGTCTCTGTTTTCGGTTGTGTGTTTTCTGTTTTTACGTAGTCAGCGTCGCGTTGACCGGCAGCACTCGGTCCTGTCGGTGTTGATCAAGTTATGACCTGCAGATGGTGCGAGAATGAAGGGTGCAACCGCTTACCTGGTTTGGCTGATGGTGTTCGACATGCTGTCCATTTCTGTGATGCCAAACCTGTCGGAGGAAAATAGCGCGTCTGGAATGTTCAAGTCTCGGCTAGGAAACGCGGCACTGTTTGTCTGTCTGTCTCTGCTCCTCTTCACAAGAAGCTGTTTCGCGTGTTGAAAATGTGAATGTTTGAAGGCGTGAGGAGTGCACCCGCCAGCGGACCCTGGCAACGCGCAAGGCGGGAGAGCGGTGCAGGCGGGTGCTCAGTGGAAGGTTGGCGTCGGCTGCCAGGAGGAACCTTCTCATGAGGTGGTTTTATCATTCTATCCATTCTTTTCTTTTTTCTATTATGATTTTCCATCAATGCAGTACACAAGCAGAGAGTCAACAAGCGTACTTTTCACACTGTAAGGACCCTCACAGCGGCGTCTATGCATGTTGCCCTCGATTCGATGAGAAATTCTTACACTATAATCAGAAACGCTCGCCCGTATATGAATGTCTGTATTGCGTATACTATATAGGTGTCTCATGGCGTGGAAGGCCTACGGTGTGTCCCGCCGCATCCAGCTCCGCTCCGCCCGCTCGTTCCTGCTCGCGCAAAACCGTCGCGCGGTCCGCGGCGCGCTGGTCGCCTGGAGGGAAGGGAGAAGACGGCGCGCGGAGGCCGCCCGGAAGCTGTGGCACCTGGGGAGGGCCTGCAGGACGGCTGCGCTTAGGGAGGGGCTGCGGCGGCTGAAGGTGTCGGCCAGGGAGAAGGAGCGCCGAGAGGCGGTGAGATAGGTGGTTAGGGTGGGGGAGGGTATGTTGGTTTCTTGGTTTTGAGTTTGTTGAAGTTGACGGTGGGTGGGGAGGAGTGTCAAAGGAGACTTCAATAGGAGAAGAAGGCGGGTGCGGCAACCGGATGTGATCAAAACACATGCATCCAAGGAGAGCAGCACGTGCTAAGAGCGTTACCGTTCCGCGTCTCACGATAGTATCCCAGGTACGGCACACCTGTCGTATCCGTTCCCCAGCCAATACAGCTTCTTCCGACAAAGATCAAACTGAGAGGGCCGCCACCGCTTGCTGCTGCAGTAACATTGACGACGACCCACCCTCATCACCCTTGCAGGCGACGATAGTGTCTAGCGCGAAGCTGGAGACGGAGGAGATGCGGCGAGAGCGGGACGGGATGGGCTCCAGGCTGACCGAGGCCACCGATGAGATACACCGGGCGGCGAGGCAGCGGGCCAAGGTGGAGAAGGAGCTGGCGCGGCGGCAGCGGCTGGCGTTCGGGCGGGAGTGCTTCGCGGCTTGGAAGGCGGTCGCGCAAGCCGAACAGAGGTGGGTAGGGATGAACGGGGGGGGGGTGATCGATGTTACGGCCGGAGAGGGGGCGGAGGCAAGAAGGGGGGCTCGTTCGTTCTTTGTGGCCATCACGTATGCGACACGGGTTTTTTCCCTGTGTTGGAAGCAGTCTAGTTTTGGCGAATCGAGAATCAGTTTTTTTTTTATCGGAACATTTGATACAGCAGTATTATCATCGTCCGGAGCTTATTAGACCCAGTTTTGTTGGGGGGGGTTGAAAGTCAAACATCTTTTGATACAGCCAACGCGTGTGGGTGGGGTGTACTGCCATCCCCGCTTCTGCTGAAACTCCGGTTTCTAGCACCTTTCGGGATGTTGGGACACGCCAGCCTGAGGAAAGCGACCTATGATACTTTTCTTTGCCCCACTCCCTCCTACATTGCTTGCCTTTGTTTTGGTCGCAAAACGGACTCAGCTGTCCCCTACCCTCGTCAACCGCGCAATGGAATTTTCGATACACACTAATAGTCGTTTGTTTTTTGCTTGGACATCATATGAGAAAAACCTGCTGCAGGGTTATTGGATGTATGCTAGGTTGGTGTTCATCTCGATTGCAGCACTTCCAGTATGGGCATCAAGAAGGATTCAGTTTACTTCTACAGGCACGCGTGTCTTGCTGCTAAAGACGTGGGGTTGATATTGACCTTGGCTTTCATATGCCCATGCTTGATTTTATGTTCATCAGACTTTTGGTCGAGCAACAAGCTTGTTGCGGTAACTCGGTGTAACTGCCGGAACCCCCCCTACACTGGGGTTGGATAACACGAGGGTTGAAATATCGGAACATCAATATGGATTGTTATCGACCTACTGTAGCTCGACGAGGCGATCACGAATATCGCTGCTTCGCGTTTCAGTTCCTTTGCTTCAAAACGTTATCACTCTTATTCTAAACGTGAATGGACAAATTGTTGTGCATGGACTGCCCCAATTCGATTAGGGACCGAATCCGGGATGGGGTGAGGGGTCTATCGTACAGGATATAGTGTGGTATAGTAGAACCTATATACTAGGTATTACGTAAAGTAGGATTTAATATGGCCATACATCAATCTGTTCACCTCTTGCTGTGTTGGAAGTATACTTTGACACTAAGGTTGATGAAAAATACTTTCAACTAGTAGAAGATAAAGGTTTGATTGCAACCACACTATTACTAAAATACGGGCCTGGGCAGTGCTAGCAATATTTCAACACCCGCGTGTTCTCTTGCTGAGGGTTGCCTGAGGGCAAACGGGCGGCAATCCAGGAAGCACAGCTCCCTCTTCCTCTCGCGTGTTTTCGTGCGCTTTATCCAGCTTGGTTTAGGCCGAACTATATAGGATTTAGTGTGTGTAGTAAAGCCTACGCAGAAGTTATTGAATATGCATAGTAGGCTTCAGTACCACATTACTATACCCACATAGAAGTAAATGCAGAGAGGTGTATTGGGTAAGTATGCATATGACCAACCTAGTTCCTGTACAACGAGAGGATATTGGTTTTTAAATTGGTTATTATTCCACAATAAAACCAATACAACAGCCCCCCCCCGCTTTCTCTTGATTAAATACTTTAATCCAGTTTTTTTGGACTGAGTTTCCTGCTTCTGGGGGCTCAGGAAATGCTTGGTGCATTGCCGCCAATCGCGAAATCGAGAGCAGCGAGGGGGGAGGGGGGCGTACTCTTGATGTTTTGCATGCCTTAGCGGTTAGACCATTGACCACGCGTCCTCGAGAGGACGGAGCATTGTTCCCACAGGACCGGTCACCGATGGCCAATCGTTCCTTCCTACTTTGCCAAAGGTGGCTCAAAAATGTCTTCCCTAGTCTATCTATCCTAACGATATCCCTTCCCGCCTTTTCAAACCACTTCCTGTTCCCCAGTACAGCTACCGTCTTCTCCTCTCTATTCCGTGCCTCAAACATCTCCCTGCACCTCCCTTGTATTTTTCCCAGCTCAGCTATGTACACTTTCCTCTCCTTGTCGTACAACTAACATTCCGCGACTACATGAACATGGTCTTCGCACTCGAAACCGCAATCACATTCGAACTTGTCGTCTTCGTCGTCTACCGTCCCATGTCTTCGTCGACGTTCTCGAAGGCCCATGTCCCCGGTCCTGAATTTGACCTTAAGCTTTGTCCCTGCATCCACTGGTCCATGTAGGTAATCCTTAAACCCTATTCCTTCTTTCAACATTCCGTAGCACTGTGTAACTGCCTCGAGGGTGCTTGACCATTTTAACACAACGT